AAAAAAGCTCCTGATGAGCCAAAAGGTGCATTCATTATGATGATTCAGATGCATTAACATTGTGAAACTCTTTGTGTCCTAAAACCAAATATGCTAATTAAATACATAATTCTGAATTATTACCTGCAAATAAATGTGTAATTAGGGTTGCAAGGCTTGCCGCCCATAATGATCGGGCAACGAAATGGTTCATGCTGAGCTTTCACTCAGCCGGCTCTCCCCCTCATAGTTTCTTGTCAGTGCCTTTTGTGCTCATTTAACAATATGCCGCTCACTCCTCAGCAGCGCTGTGCAGAGATCGTTTGTTCGTTCAGCTCTCCTTGACTGACTGCTTGGCTTTGACGTCCAGTTAACGCTGATAACCCCTGTGATAAACACACTGCTGCCACTATCCAACCTTATTTTCTGTACAAGGAGCAAGCTCTCTTCACTACTCCATGAATGCACGCTGCTATGCATCAATCATGCTGATTCATCCCAGTCTCCATAAAGCACAGTCAGATGGTTGCGGTGAAGAAACACTGCCACTTCACTAAAGCTTAAAAACTGCTTGGTAATTTGTTATCTTGTTTCAAAAGATCAAATGGCGGACGAGTAATAGGGAACCCCCTTGTCTCCTATATTTCAGGTCAAATCCTGTCTACACTGTACTAATTTTCACTATTAACACACAGTCACATACCTTCACTCATTCCACTCACACATAAATCCATCCACAAGGAAACACTGAATGTAACTACAGTACATGTAAATACACACAGAAATGTTGCAGAGTTGTCCAGGGAAATCAATACCACCTGAAGCAAAGTTTAAGGACTACTAGCTTTCTGAAGTGATTCTACAGTGTGAACAAATACATGACGGACAAGCCATTAATCATAATAAAGTCCGGTCAACAAGAACTTTAAATCTGACAAGAAGTCCAAAAAGGAAGAAAAACAAACCAAAAGTTGAATATTTGATGTGTTGCACAAAAGCAAACAGGAATTCAAATTATACTTCAGCACAGGATTGATCCAATAAAAAAGGTGCAGAGAAAATGATCTAATTATCGAGGCAAAAGAGAAACAAACCCATCAGCGCTTGAAATGTAGAGAACAAAGAGGAAAAGGTAATTTTATGTAATACATAAAATCATATTCATTTCAAAAGCAGCCTTTCATTCGGATAACTACAGGGCAGCAGTGGAGTTGAGTGTAAATTTGGAATTCAGGTTTTCTTATCTCATCTTTTTATTTTTCTCCATGTAGAAAGAAGCCAAAATAAATATCAAATATCAAATAATACAAGTAATGCGGTGTAGATTGGATTTGAGTCTGTACACCGACATCACCATTTGCACAAAAACTTTTATTTTCACCTCTATCTTTTTCGAAAAGATCCAAACAACTGAGTGCTAAGCTAACAACATACTCAACTTCACTCTCTCTGAAAATGACACCTAAGATCTAAGAGACAGCAGAACCCTAAGACTCAAGAAGACCATTGCTACTGCGGTGATACACTCTTATAGTCGAGACATAACAGCAGAGCAGAGGCATCACTTCCCATCATCACTGACTTCTTTAAACAAACATTAATCGTCTGTGATGGCTGTCGGCTCATCTCACCTCCTGCACACTCAACACATCTTAAACCCTGCAAATCACCACTACCTGATCACCCTCCTCTCGCAAAGAAATCGCAAAAAGGTTTGGTTTTTTTTTGTCTCGGTTGGCATATCAGAATAACTAATACGCTCCATGGAAACATTGAGAAGAGCTTCCCATCAATAATTAAGGAATATACACCACAACATAAGTTATCTGATGCAATATTTATACAGATGTTGACAGCATGAGTACAATCTGATTGCGGAAACTAAATGTCAAGCTACAACTTGTTATTACTGTAGCTGTGAGTTCTTGGGAGTGTTAGCAATAAAGAGAGTGAATTATTACTTTTCTGTACTCATTTGACAGCTCTGGATTTGTGGAAGTGAACCCGGACCTGCAGGTCTGCTGCTGCAGTGGTATGGAGGCCACTGGGAGCTGTACGAGGAAGCAGACAGAGGCAGGCTTGTGACTGGGAGGTCACTGGTTCAACTCTCTGGACGAGCTATCGGGATGAGGTAAGACAGTGAGTCATACTCTCACCTCCCTCTGCAACAGATACTGAAGTACTGCTGAGGTCTGCTGGTCTGTGCAGCTCTTCCAGGGTGGACAGACTAAAGGTTGAACTTGCCCTGCTCCTCAGTTTGAATAAGAAGTAAAGCTAACAAACAGTGCAGTATGGAGGAACTGAAGCATGAATTCACAAGGTGTGTCCCATGTGGTAAGAAGTTATCAACAAATCTTAAAAAATATCTTGCTCCACAGTATTTTATGTTATGGTTCAATGTTTTATGCTTTGTTTTAAGTAATCTGTATTTTTTTTTACTTGTATACTGTATTGTGCTCTATATTTAAGTGTTATATCGTCTCAGTGGTATCTTGTTAGCACATGCACTATGCTTCTATATTATTTGGCGACCAAATCATATTTTCTACTCAGGTCGACAATATTCAATTTTCAATTTTTAATGGCATTTTCATGCCTCTTATCTTAACCTTTATTTAACCAGAAAGTCCCTTCAGATTGACATCTCAGGCAGACCTGGTCAAGATGGTACACCAGTTACAGGTAAAGTACAAGAGACTAAAACCAGCTCAAATAAGGCAGGTGCATTTCTCAATTACATGGACTTGGGGAACTGTTTGGAGGTCCTACTGCTTTAAATTTGTCTAAAGATGTGGCACGCTCTGCAGAAGTCCAGGTTATTTTTTCAAATGTATCTAAATTAATGTGTTAAATTTCAACACATTTGATATCAAACTGGGGTGGGCAAGCATTTTTGTAGGGATAGAAGCTGCTACCCCATGACACCCCTCTAGATCCGCCCCTGAGCAGAAGAAAGAAGAAAAATTATTACTAAATGTATTTATGTACCATGTGAAAAACAAAACAATAATTTGAAATTATCCAGCATAAATGAAGTCTACTGAAAGAGAAGAATCATATTACATAGATAAGCTTTTGGAAAAAGGGTGACTTCTGCCTTTTTGTTGGTACTTTGTTCTATGTTTAACATTTTCATTTGAAATATGAAGCAACAACTTGCTTTTAACTTTTATGGCGATGATGTGATGCAATTGATATATTAACTCACTGTCTGTGTACGGAGCATAACTTGATATCGTAGAAGAAGGAATGATTTAACATGTAGCCTAAAGCAAACAGTCGAAACTGACCACAAATATCCTGATATTTCATCATTTGCTGCCAGTGTTCATTTCGTCAAGCTGTTTGTGTGGATATTCACACTGGATTATTTCCAAAAGAGATCGATAATATTATTTCTGTTGAAAATGTTTAACCGGGATACTTCAAATATACACTTAAATGTACATACAGTTAAAAATCATGATACTCAGCTTCTTCACTACAGTCCTTCTGTGACTGGAGCATCCTCACACTCTATCTTTGACATATGCATCTGTTCATAACTTATAAGTTTAAAATGAAAAATAAACCTATTTAAGGGAGGAAAAATATACTGACCTTTGCTTTACATGACTACACTGCCCCTCTGATATTACACGAGTTTGCTATGCACTTTGAAATTCTTCTTTTTTGTAATATTGGCATGGATGCTATTTTGAACAGTGTTATGAAACATAAATGCAAGAATTTGTACTAACGGCCAGAAGTTCTCAACCTTTTCGGCTTGTGGCTCTTGAAAACGAAAAGGTGGCTCCTTGACTTCCATCACAGGCGTGTGCAGTGCTCTGTACTGTTCAGTTCTGCAGAGTGGAGACCAGCTATGGAAATTATTACCACAGCCTCCTCTCCTTTCACTAATCATGGTTTTATTGGAAAAAAACAACAGAAAAATATTTACTTGACAATAAATATTGCACAGCAGCAATGTTTTGTTCCTGTGCAATAAACCAGCTCCCCCTGAGGGGCCCTTATACATTATAACACTGACACATCAGCAGCATCTTTTTCAACTTGTTAACACAATAAAACATCACAGAGGTCACAGAAAATGTCTATACGTGCTGTTCCTATTGCACTTTGCAAGTCTTACTCAAGCAAGTGCATATGAGCATGAGCATGAGCGATGAAAAACTGAGCCACCAATGTGGAAGTGTTAGAAGAGGTGAAACGCAGCAGACTGTTGAAAATCCAATTTATCTTCTGGACTCAAACAAGCCTCACATCTTCAACTTCCCTCACTCACCCCTCCAACCACTCTCACACGACTCCTCCACTCTCTCTTCCCCAAAACTGCTGCCACATGAACACACACACACACAACTCCAAAACTCAAGTCTGCAAGGATTTGTTCACATATTTCTGTATTTTACCGCAAATAGCTCCACAACCTTTTTGCTTTGTGGTTACAGACAATCTGAGTGGCCTGAGGAGTAAAAAGGCTTTATTATGAGTGCAGCAATACTGACCTCCAGTGAGTTGAGGGTTAGCAAAATAGAGAGAAAGGGAGAAAATCTGCTAAAAACACTGATTGCACATTCATTTTCTCTCAGATTGAGACACAAAATCTGTAAATCTAACAGTTCTTCCTCAGTTTAATAATGATACAATTTTAAAATTGAGATCATTTGGGCTGAAATGCAGTCCTGTCCCTAGCCTTATCATATTCCAGCAATATGAAAATAACACTCTGTGCCGGGGGCGGGGCAGCAGTGGGTGAGTTATGAGAACAACACATGGGGCATCATTAGGAGCGAGAGCGCACCATGCTGAAGGAGGGAGAGCTGCGCCTGGACCGCACTCAACTCCTGACACACAGGAGACGCGTGACAAGACTGTAATAGGGTGCATGGAAGGTTATTTTTTATTCAAGTTAGTTTTCTTGACCTACACATGATCAACAGGCTGCAAATAGGCTTCAAAAGACTCTATTAAGTGGGAATCTTTTCATGCGCGCCTATCCACGTCGTCAGATGTGTCAACTGGCCGCGGAGCTGCGCGTTTTTGATGGACTCTTCAGTCTTTACGAGGCTGAATGTGAGTCCATGCAAAGATTCAACCAGTCCAGGATATATATAAAGCGCTCACAGTCGGGATGGATTCGTTTAACGCCAGCGGAATGGACGCGTTCACGGTGATCCATCTGAATTCCTCCTGGAGTCCGGACAGTGGATATTCTTTAGCGGCCATAGCCAGCATTGCCGCTCTTGTAAGTTTTCTAATTATCTTTACCGTTGTTGGGAATATACTGGTGGTTATTGCGGTGTTGACAAGCAGGGCGCTGAAAGCCCCGCAGAACCTTTTTCTGGTGTCTCTGGCCACCGCGGACATCCTGGTCGCCACTTTGGTGATGCCGTTTTCCCTGGCGAATGAACTTATGGGCTACTGGTATTTCGGAAAAGTTTGGTGTGGTATTTATCTGGCTTTGGATGTTTTGTTCTGCACTTCGTCTATTGTTCATCTGTGCGCAATAAGCCTGGACCGGTACTGGTCCGTTACGCAGGCTGTAGAGTACAACCTGAAGCGGACTCCCAAACGCGTCAAGTGCATCATCCTAATTGTGTGGCTTATATCTGCTTTCATCTCATCTCCGCCTCTCATATCTATAGACAGCAACAATGATATCGGCTCTCAGCCTCAGTGCGAGCTGAATGATGACACTTGGTACATCCTCTCCTCCAGCATCGCGTCCTTTTTCGCTCCGTGCTTAATCATGATTCTGGTGTACATCAGAATATACCAGGTGGCCAAAACCAGAACCAGAAGCATGTCGGGAAAAAATCCCAGGCCAGATGGTGTCACACAAACTGAGAATGGACTGAGCAAAGTCACCTCGCCTTTCCATGGCGAGAAGGAGAACGGACACTGTCAGTGCCCGCCTACGCCCAGCCAGCGCACCGTCACCATCGGGCAACAGACCGAGGATGCTGACATAGAGGAGAGCTCCTCCTCGGAGGGCAAAGGTCACAAACCGCAGCAACAGGACTCCCAGAGAGCCAAGAGGGCCAGCCAAAAGAAAAGCTCCCTCTCCAAACACTCCACTCGCATCTCCAGAGTCAGTAACAAATCCATGGACCTCTTCGCCTCCAGGAGGAAACGTCGCCGGAGCTCCTTAGCCAGGAAAAAGGTCTCACAAGCAAGAGAAAAGAGGTTTACATTCGTCCTGGCTGTGGTTATGGGGGTGTTTGTTGTGTGCTGGTTCCCCTTTTTCTTTAGTTACAGCCTGTACGGTTTGTGCAGGGACTCCTGTAAGATCCCAGACCCACTCTTTAAATTCTTCTTCTGGATTGGCTACTGTAACAGCTCCCTCAACCCCGCCATCTACACCATCTTCAACCGAGACTTCAGACGCGCCTTCCAGAAGATCCTCTGCAAGTCGTGGAAAAAGTCCTTTTAGATCGGACGCAGAACTGCTGCACCACCATGACAATCTTTAAAAGGAAATATCAAAGTGAATTTAAAAAAAAAAGAAGCCTGTTTTGTCTATTACTGCCACTCGTCACTCACTGTTACCTCTCATTGTCCTGTTGTAATTTAGTCATGGCAGTGCACCCTCAACAACCTACTGGGTGTCTCTGCAAGCTTCAACATGCAGTATGTTTCTATTACAGGCTTTCGCAAACCTGGTTAGTGAGCGCCGCCGTTCTTTTATTCCTACTGAAGTGTGCTGTAATGCTTTATAGTCTATCATCATTGATCAAGCTCTTTATACATCTACAAAAGATACACGCATGGCTGGATTTATCTGCTAGGGGGCCCCAGGGCAAAAATGAGCTCCTGGGCCCCCTGTTAACCCTCTTTTGTTTTTCCCCATTCTCTGTGCAATGTGTACAATTTTTATATGCTTTTTGTGCTAGAAAACAGCTTGGCCACAGATTTGCTGTGTGGTAATTTGATTAAACATATTATTTAGGAATAGCAACACACAGAAGCACAAAACCGATGTAACAAAGGTTTTGAAACTTTATTTTGACAATGTGATGCTTTTCAAGACAGAGTGTTAACTGAATAGGTTACATTTCGGGACAAACACATATTCGCTTTCTTTGCGTGAGTTAGATTGGAAGATTGGGAGCAAGTGGCTGGTTAGCTTAGCCTATAAAGCATAACGACTCAAAACAGAGGAAAACAGCTAGCTCTCCAAAGGTAACAAAATCCACCTCATGGCAACCCTAAAGCTCACTTTATATCTTATTTGCCATATAAAAGCCAACAGAAACAGATTTTGTTACACTTGAACAGAGTCAGGCCATTTGTTTCCTTGTTTACACTCTTTATGTTAAGCTAAGCTAATCGCCCACTGGCTCCAGCGTCATGGTTACTGCACAGACATAAGAGTGGTATCGATCTTCTAATCTAACTCTCAGCAAGAAAGCAAATAGCATATTTCCCCAAAATGTCAAACTATTCCTTTAAGATTAGGTAATTAAGCCAAATCTGACCTGACCTGACGGCCCCTTATGTCAGTTTTGTGCTTTAGTTCTGCATATTGGACCAGTTGACACACAGTAAGCCTGAAGCTCTTGGGGCCCCTGGAACTCTAGGGTCTTGGGGCAACTGTTCACTCAGCCCCGGTTGATGAAGAGTTAGAGCAGTAGTTACCAGGCTTTTTCACTTGTTTACCCTAAAAATCACCCTGTTTAATATGTCTACGAGTCATTTGCAGTGATTTTCCCCTTTTTGAAATAGTTTAAATCATTTTGAGAAGCCTGAAAGTCTAAAAACTGTCAAGTATTTTACAAGAAAAAGGGAATTATTGGAGAGAACTCTGAAGAAAATATAAATAAAGAAATGACCCCTCAGATTTATCTTGCAACCTCAGGTAGGAAACCACTGACTTTGTGGGTAAAATTCTGTAAATTTGTTTTTGTCTGCTTGCCATGATGTTGTTGGCCATGTCAGCTTTTACAGCTTTTTTTGAGCGTCTCTGTTGTAAAACGGACTCTAAAGCAGTAAGAGCGAAAGGAATAACAAACCAGCTGTGTTCTTTAAGTACCTGCATGCTTAGAGTGTACCCATGCCACCAAAGTGTCAACATGGTAATTCATAACACAGCTGACAAATGGCAAAGCACAACAGCAGACTGAATCACGACGGAGTCTTTGTTCTGATCTCTGACTGCACCTTAGAGATTTGAGACGGCACTGAGAAGAGCTGACGCTCCAGACTATAAGCTAAATTATTTTTATGGCGTGCAAATAAGGTCATTATTTTCACAGTGGCCACAAACTACTGAGTATTAAAAGATCAAGTGCATTTATGTTGCATTTATTTTTCAAGAAACTACCTCTCTGTTTAGTTTTTGTTCTTTTGTTGCCATTTTTGGATTTATGATTTGCAAAGTGCAGTACACATCTTTCCTCTGCTTAAGCTGTCTGCTGTGGTGCAAAAATAAAAGATGAAGAAGTCTCATGTTAAGTTTTGGTGTGATGTTGCAATATGGAGCCCCTTTAATGGTCATGCACATGCTCATCAAAATCTTTTTTTTTTTTTTCATGGAAAGACAGTTACAGCTTTAATAACAAGAGGCGATCATCCTAACATGCTGATTTATGACTTTTACTTGCTTTTAAATCCATTGGCAGATGTTGAGCATGTTTAGTGTTTTCTCGTAAGCGCAGATGAATTACCTTTCATCAAATTAAAATTCCACACATTAATTAAACCCAAATCAGCAGTTTACTTTTCAGCTGAAAGAGAAAATCCCTATCTATGCAGGCTCGGTAGACACAGTTGTTTGTATTAATTTGGTGGGAAAATTAAACAATTACGAGCAGATTGGTAACTACAAAACTGCCTGTTATCTCTCTCTATCAGGGGACTTTAGGATGACACAATGTCTAGTGCTAACTTGCTAATTTACTCTTTTTTTTTTTTTTACTCAAGTCTAAATAATATTACTCTCTCAGCAGTGTGAGCGTAGATTTTGGAAATCAATGAGGATGCCATGATGGGGTAAAAAAATGGTACAATCTCTCTGATGGAACGTGGCCATGCCTGTTTCAGGGTGTAAGTGACCTTTCAGCAAAACAGGTTTGATGTTGGGTCTGGCTGCCCCATAATCTAATATTCCCCTGAGCCCCTGTGGGCAGGACTGAGGTGAAACTGAATTCCCCACACCAAACTCTTGTTGTTTGCCTCCTACTTTTCTGCTGTGGCCGAGAGCGTGCAGCCAAAACCCATTTGTAACGTGTTACGAGTCCATCTGCTGTTGTTCCAACTGCTGATCGCAGCCATCAGAGATTTACGTCCAAAAAAACCAGAAAGAACACAGTATTCCCGTCTGTTTAATTGTTTGAATAAAGAGAATAAACAGGTAGCTGTAAAGTGGCTGATGGAAAACAGCAGGCAAATATCTCTCTGTCACCAGTCTGTGTATATTGTATTTAACCAACCTGCTTCACCAGCCAAAACATTATTTTTCTCACTGTCTAAACAAAAAAAGTTGAACTTAATGTTCAAATTGTGATAAATCTTTCCACAGTTTTTAACTGAACCTAAATGGTTTTCATCATAAGGTCAAAGAATGATGAATCTGATTAACTGCGCTGCACTCCCAGTGTTCTTTCACAGCTTAACAGGTTTGGTAAGGACAGTGCCTTCATCACTGGGACAAATAAAATGTATGTGGCTGCACATTAACCCCTGACGTTCTCAGTAGTCAGAAAACAAAGTGGTTTAATCGGGTTTGTGAGTGATTGCAGTGACTCACCGATAACTTCGACAGATGCTGAGATCTTATGGCTTTAAAACTCTCCAGCCTGCACTTTGAAAAGTCAGCACCGAGAGACCAATTCATGAAAATTGAATATGGTTAATTCTTTTTCTGGCTTGAAATCAAGATGAAGGTTTCACCAGGGAAACCGTTTTTGGATTAAAGAATGGTCGCACAGTTTCACAGACTATGTTTTAAAAGGTATTTTACATGATTAATAGAGAATAACAAACCGAACACAAAGCGACTCAACTGATTCTACAAGGAACCAGTCCGTCTCTACGTTTGACAGAACATCTGTTACACTGATGGCCACTAGATGGAGGCTCAAAAAACTTGTTTAGAGCAAACCCTTGGGAACAATTGGACAATACAATGATTTTGGTGTAGGGGTGACAGTTGCAACTGACAAAGAGAAACTTTTTGCAACATCCACTGCAGAAGCAATGAACTGACCACTTGGAGGCAGCAGGATAACAGTCCCTCCAGAAAAACGTGAT